CGTTTTAATTTTGGAGCCTAAAAACACTCCAACAATATATAGGCTACAAAAAAGTAAGAAAAGAGCCTTTGGCCCTGTTTACACCTGGTATTAAGATGCGGTTAGGTTGATTGGATCACAAGTGGACGACGCTAAATACAGGTGTAAACGGGGTCTAAATTTAAAGGGATAGTTCACTTTGAAATACATTTTTATATGTTTTTGCTTACCTCAAGGGCATCCAAGATGTAGGCGTCTGTGTTTCCGCAGAAGTTTCAATTTTGACATTTTTAGGTCAAACCGTTCTTGTCTGTCAGTCATATAATGCAGGTCTATGGTCACCACCTCAAAGAGCATGCACAGAGAAGTCCAAATTAAACATGATTTAATGACTCGTAAATGTAAGTACACATTGATGGCCTAAGACATGAAACGAGCGGTTTGTGTGAGAAAACGAACCGTATTTATATCGTTTTTACATCTTGTAATCACAGTCACGTCCAAGTACTCTGATGGCGCGGGCGCTTCGGTCTGTGCGTTACAAGAGGTAAAAACGATATAAATACTGTTCGTTTCTCACACAAACCACTCGTTTCATGTCTTAGGCCATCAATGTGTCATTGATGGCCTAAAAAGTCATTAAATCATTGGACTTCTCTGTGCATGCTCTTTGAGGAAGTGACCATAGACCTGCATTATATGACTGACAGACAAGAACGGTTTGACCTAAAAATATCAAAGTTGAAACTACTGCGGAAACAAAGACACCTACATCTTGGATGCCCTTGAGGTAAGCTAAAACATATCAAATTTATTTCAAAGTGAACTATCCCTTTAAACTTAGTCCCAAGTTTCGTTTGAATTAGAAAACCGTATCAAGCTCAATGTTCTCCCACCATTCCTGAGCGTCAGAGCAGAAACAAAAGCTGATGCTCTCTGTATATTTTTCCGTCGTCTCCGGTCGCATTCATATGTAAATTTGCGTGAGCTTATTTTGTCCATTGGATCGAATGATCTGAAACATTTACCCGCCCATAGACCCTCCCCTTGAAGAAATCAGGACAGAAGTGGTTGAAAGTGGACAAAAGAGACGGATTAAAATACCAGGTGTAAAAGGGAATGTGTCTCCCTCGTCTACTTGTGATCCGATTGACCAAAACGCATCTTAATACCAGGTGTAAACAGGGCCTTTGCTTAGAGCACCTTGAAAATAAGATGTTGGATTCCGAATCCAATCCAGTTTCACTGGCCACAGTTTTAGTATTACTTGTTTCCAAATAGGCCTTCTGTGCAAATCCATAAACTGCAGAATGCTGGTTATCCTGAGTTGAACTGAATGATCCAACAGTTCAAACATGTTCTGAGGATATATTTTGGCTTCAGGATGAAGGCTGCTCCTGAATTGGCACAATCCTACAGACGTGATCGTGCAGTGTCTTCCTCTTCACCATGTCCTTATTTTACCGGGCAGGTAATGCGGCTTGGACTGGCATTGCTCTCCGCTTATTGAGGTCGTTTAGGGTCAACAGCACTTATTTTAAGAACAGGCTACTCATCCTCACATGCTCCACAGGACAAGGCCCAGCTTTTGCAGTCAAATTGAAAAGCATGGGGTACTGTTGGTAAATGCCAACAACACCCTCATTGGGCGTTGAACAGAAAAACAAAACTTTTCAGCTCATCTAATTAAAGAGAGGGACTTAAGCTTATTTCAATGGTCCACTTTAGACATTCTCCTATAAGTAACTCATTAAATTGCAACTACATGACAACCAATTGTCTTTAGAGTATTAGTAGTTATATTAGGGTTAGTAGAATAAGTTGACATGTACTTGCAAAGTTACTTAGAGAATGTCTAAAGTGGACCATCAAATATAGTGTTACTTTCATCCAAAAAGGAAAATCTTTTGTTTTATGGAAAATGGTTGTTCTAAAATTCTTATTTCTTGGTGAACTTATTTTAAGACTGAATTGGTCTTAGACTGCAATCTAGAGTGAGCCATTGTTCTGTAGTTCAAACTTTATCAGTCCCATCTCTTCTCTTGTGGAAGGACGAGTGGAGCTATGTCCTCTAATTTTGGGTCAAGGAAAGACGTAGGCCTCATGTGGGGTCTTGGTGGGGCTCTTGTTTTCCCCTGGATGAGTTTGGGGCAGTGCGGGACTGTTGAGCACACTGTGAGGAGAGGGAAAGAAGTGAGGAATAAATGGGATGGCAGCCAGAAGAGGGCTGGACTGGGGGCTGTGATCCAGAGAGAGGGGGATGACCACATCATCCTGATCCCAAACGTGGAAGGCGTTGGGGTGGGAGTGTGCGAGGACTGGTGGCATGTGCGTTGAACCATCATCCCCTGCCTCACTGCTGGCCTTCAAGATCTCCTCGTCTGGACCCAAAGCCCATTCTGAAAACACACGGAAAAAAATATACAGCAAGTATATGTGTGAATCTCAAGAAAAATGTTAACAGAAAAAATAAGAAAGTGAAGCCTATTTTAGAGCACATTTTTCTCAAATTCTCATTACTGTAATGTATCAAGATGTTTTTCCCCTCATTACTGTAATACAGACTTTTTTTAATTACAATGAAAAAAAATGATGTACAGATGTCATGTATAAATCTATTTTTTTCTTCATATTTTCTTTTTACATGATGACAATGAGAACTGTGGGGAAGGTGCCCAAGTATCATGAAAATAAAATCACAATGCAAAGATGTCAATGGTCCTAAATTAAGCCTCATTTTATACCAATATATTTATTAGCCATATTAAGCATTATCTATCTATGGGGATTTATTTATTTTTTTAAATGCAACCTTACAACTGAAGACGTCATTTCATCTGAGGTCTGTTTTTTTCATGATTCATGCCTGATAAATGATAGACCTTCTATACACATGAACACCAACAGGCATGTTTTAGACAGTGTGCTTAAATGAAAGTAGGAAATTACATATATAATCAAAAAAAAAAATTGAAATCACCCTTTTCAGCATGGTTATTGGATGAGATGGAGACAAGCAGGTCTGGGCTAGATGCTAATAACACACTTAAAATAATAACTACGTCAATATCAAATAACTAAAATCAAATGGTTAGCCTATATCTGCAAACAAACGATGCAAAGTATTTTCTAAGAACTAACTTCAATCATTTGCCATAATGGTGGTCTAAATACATGCAGTTTAGCTGAATTTTGAACTATGTTCATTGTATAATTTGTTTAATCTTTACTTGATAAGCACAATCTGCTAACTTGTCGACCACTTTTAACAGCAAGTCAATCAAAGCAAGATTTACCTAAGATGTCATAAGCGAGGTCTTTAATTAAATGTCCCACAATGGCATAAGCGACAGCGACCACCACCACCGCGGCCATCATCAGGTAGAGCAAGGCTTTGGGGATCTGGATGAGATCCCGGGCTGGAGGTCTGTAGGTCTTATACAGCGGAGACTCAAATCCCGCATACTGAGATGCGTGATCCCCGTAGATGGAGGCGTTCAATCTGCTCATATTCACAGGGTTCATTATAGAACACGGCTTGTAATTTCACCCCCCAAAAAAAATATATATATATATATATTCCACTTCCAAAATGTGTCTTGCTTGTCCTCCAGGCAGTTTTAGTTACGGGAAACTATCTGTCGGTGAGTAGACGTGGCGCATAATGTCATTTGAAAATGAGTTTAGTAATGCCAAAGTTTAATGCCGTAAAACAAAGCGACCGGTGCACTCATTCAAGAACGCGATTTCACACCAGCTATTCTCCTAAGTATTAGATGGGCAGATGGACTGTGATGTAAGTGTTGGAGGTTTGAAGATCTCACACCATCGACCGGTCATGATCTTTTCTCGGACAGCGAGACGATTGGTGGATTTGACGCGTCATCACTTTAATCTCTTCAAGGCGCGCGCACGGGTCAATCAAGGTCAACCAGAAATCGTGCTCTGCTCTAGATAGATGTTATACTGTAACTGCCTTCATGTGCTATCGGAACTTTCCTACTTCCCACTTCTGAAGTCGTAATTACGAGCTCATCGCATTCAAGTTTTGACTTGAGAGGGCGTTCGTCCAATTTTTTTACTAGGAAACTAGTATTTAGGCTACTATAATTCCTAGCACGTGAGGCAGGCTCAAGGTGATGATACACAAAGCAACTTTTTGAGCAATGTTGCTGGGCAATGTTGCCATCAAAGGGCAACCAGATGAGACACAGGGCCCACGGCTGATCTAAATTATCCAGATAGAAATGTATTGCCCATTTTCAATGGGAAAGTGCCCAAGCAACAATTGCTCGGCAAGATTGCCCAGCAACATTGCTCAAAAAGTTGCCCTGTCTATCATCACCTTTAGACACAGATACATAGAAGATTAGAAACATTCTCACGCATTTCTAATTAACACATTTTTACTTTTCTAATGATCTGGTAAATATAATTTCTTTTTTTGTAATGATCTGGTAAATATATATAACCTAATGTAGAATAATTCATTATTTCAAAGTGTTATTGAGGAAATTTAGCTTTGTGTCTGTGTAGTAGATATACTTTTATGTTTTCTAATGAGCCTGATTTAGAATTATTAGTTATTAAAGTGTTATTGAGGAAATCTTTTTTTTTTCTAGGTAGTAAATATAGGTTTCTACTTTCATTTTTTTCAAGTGATCTGGTAAATACTACAGTAGGCCTATATACTCGAATGTAGAATTATTAGTCATTAAATGGCGTTATTGAGGAAATCTAGCTTTTTTGGCTGAGAGTCTGGGTAATAAATATAGTTTTCTAGTAAATATACTTTTATTTTTCCAAATGATCTGGTAAATACTATATAGCCTAATGTAAAATTATTAGCTATTTAATAGTTAAGTATATCTAGCTGTATAATTGAGGAAATTAGCTTTTTTGGCTGATACTCTGGGCGGAAACTTATAATAACCTATTATTAAAATGGACATAAATACAAAAACTATGATGTTTAACTGTTAATTAACATTATGAACCCACAGATGCATATAAAACACTCATAAAACAAATGAGATTTTATTCAGAATGAATGCATAGAATTCCTGTGATGTTCACTTTATTTAATAAATACAACAAAATTAACAAGAGTCATTGACAATGATCAGTGGGTCACACTGGATCTCTAAAGTGCAAGCACTTAAAAGTAATTTAACTAAAAAGTAGTATTTTGAAACTGCTATTAATTATCTCTTATTGTTTAGTTCTCATTTAGTTCAAATGAATAATGTGGAGAAATGGCTTTCAGCAATACATTTTACGACAAGATCATGAACCGTTTCATAATGCAACAGTTTTTGTAACATGACATATTAATGCATGTCAAACCAGTACCCTAGAGAAAATATATTTACCTTTGCAGACATGCATTTGACCACAGAGAGAGAGCAGATGTGAGTTTGGACCCATTTACTAAGCAAAAGATTTAAGCGCATATAGAAGCACTTGGATGGATGGATGTTGATATAGAGTTTCCCTTATTGCAGAGACAGACGCAAAAGTCCATTTACCCATGTTAGGAGAGAAATATGGGTTTATTTCCCAACAGTAAAAGACTGGAGTCCAGTGATGGCTCTGCCCAAGATCAAAGCATGGATGTCATGAGTGCCTGTGAAAAGCAAAATATTGTGTTATTAATACAGTCAGTCATTCATTATCTTTGCTTTAAGCCTATTCTGACCTCTGCTGGCCAAATATATAGCTTTCATTTAAAGTGCCCCCCATTATGCTTTCTCAGATATTACCTTTCATGCAGTGTGTAATATAGCCGTTTGTGAATGTAAAAAGTCTGCAAAAGATCAAAGTGCACGATAAATGGAGTTCTTGTTCCCTAAAATAAAGATCTGATTGTGAACTAACTGAAATGAGCCGTCTGTAATTCCTGTTTGTAACTATGTTGGTTTGTAATACATTTGCATATTGCCAGCATATGGTCTTCATTGGCTGCCCGCGAACAACGTCTACTCTGACCCTCAAACACTGTAGTTGTAGCTGAGGAAGGGTTGTGTGTGTTGCACTTCCAAAGGATGGCTCGAATTGATACGAAAAAACAGACATTTCTGTTCTCATTGTTTCTGTTTAAGTGCTGAGAAAGCCTCCAGAGCTGAAATTCAGATGATAATGGGCATTTCTTTCCGACAGACACTGTAAGCAGTAGACCAATTACAATAGACTGGGCCATCTGACCAATCAGAGCAGAGTAGGCGCTCGAAAAGGAAGGGTTAGATAGACTGGATCCTTGATTGAACCATTTCAGACATTGTGAGTAAAGAGGTGATGCTGCAATGTATATTATGAGAAAATTAAAGTGTTGTTTGACCTTGGATGCATGTAAACCTATTGTAGGAGACCTCCAAAACAAAATGAGGAATCTTTAAAATAGCATTATAGGGGCACTTTAAAATGAAACCAAAAGTATTTTCCTTCTCCTTGCACCTTCGTATGTGTTGACGGCCTCTAGGTTCATGACGTGGCGAATGATATGGTATTCGTCTGCTATGCCGTTTCCTCCCAACATGTCTCTGGCCTGCCTGGCGATGTCCAGGGCCTTACCGCAGGAGTTACGTTTCAGCATGGAGATCATCTCTGGCGACTGCCTTTTGGAGAAATGTGCGAGAAGATTCGGTGAGCGACAGGATTCTTTTGGAATGAGACAGCCGAGGTGTATTCTGACAAGCTCCGCACTCCTTGAAATGTTGTACATAACCTGTTACACATTAAACATTTATAAAGACAGAGACGAAAGACTCACTTCTTTTGGTCAATGAGTCTACCCAGCTGTAGACAGGACTGCAGCCCGATCGTAATCTCAGTCAGCATGTCTGCCATCTTCTTCTGTATGAGTTGGTTTCTGGCCAGTGGGACTCCGAACTGGATTCTACAATGGGAAAATCATTCAAATACACATTTCAGAAGTTTGCTAAGATTTGTTTTGTTGTTGTTGTTGTTGTTCTTTTTAAAGAAATTAATGCTTTTATTCAGAAAGGATTCAATAAATTTATCAAAAGTGTCAGTAAAGACATTTATAATGTTACAAAATAAATTCTGCTCTACAAACTTCTATATTCATCAGAGAATCCTGGAAAAAAAAAAATTTCCACAAAAATATTAAGCAACTGTTTTCAACATTGATTATAATGATAAATGTTTTTTGAGCAGCAAATCAGCATATTAGAATGATTTCTGAAGGATCATGTGACACTGAAGACTGGAGTAATGATGCTGAAAATTCAGGTTTGGATCACAGGAATGAATTACATTTTCAATATTGAAATAGAAAACAGTTATTTTAAATTGTAATAATATTACATAATATTACTGTTTTACTGTATTTTTAATCAAATAAATGCAGCCATTGTGAGCATAAGGGCTTCTTCTTCTTCTGAAAAACCATTAATAAATCTTACCGACCCCAAACTTGTAAATTAAATAAAAAATTAAAGCAGAGACTGCATTGTCCTGCTGTAGGACATGCTACGTCAATACGTTAATCGTTAATACGTTAATAATACAAAATCGGTCCTAATATAATAAAAATATTATTACAATTATAATGCATACATGGAATTTTTGTATCAATTTGACACACTGTAGGACTATTAAAATGAAGTGCAAAACAAAGCTAATGCTAAAAATTCATCAAAAACTCCTCATACAGTATATGCACAAGTCCATTGGAATTTTGCACCACACATTCATATAGTTCTACAAATACTTCATATGGAAATACAATTTTAAGGCATTTCCTCCATTGCACTTTAAATATTTTGAACGTTATGACTATAAATGTTCATTTGATAACCTTGTGCTAATCCGCTCACCTGTCCAAGGTGTACTGGCGGGCAGCATGGAAACAAAATTCCGCAGCACCCAGAGCGCCCCATGCAATGCCATAACGGGCATTATTCAGGCAGCCAAAGGGACCCTACAGAAATCAACATATATAACTGCAAGCAGTGTATCAGCTGTCTTCATACTTTGGGGTTGGAGGTTTGATCAGAAGTATGATCAGGACTACTAGTGATGCTTAGTATGCACTATTAATAACAGTAACAAACATACTCACAGCGAGGCCGGACACATGAGGCAGCAGGTTTTCCTCTGGCACTTCAACCTCGTCCATTAGGATCATCCCAGTGGCGGAGGCCCTGAGGGAGAACTTGCCCTCTATCTTAGGGGTGCTCAATCCCTTCATTCCTCTCTCCAGGATAAACCCTCTCACTTTGCCATCCTCACATTTTGCCCAGACCACACAGATATCAGCGTACGGGGAGTTAGTGATCCTGCTCAGAGAAAAAAAAAAGGGCTGGTGTGAAGGCTTATTATCATTCACCTGTGCTGTGCGTTTAAGATTTATGAGGTGCAATGTGGAGTTATTATAGTTTTGAATTCAGTTCTCTGGATGGACGAGTTTGACGCAATTGCTTTTTTATACTCTACCATCTGTCAGAGGGCAGCACTGAGTCGAGTCATTTACAGGACATTTGCTCGGATGACACTTTACTATCCCATGAGGCCATGGGAGATGATTTGTGAATGGCAGTGAAGTGACAAAACGGATGCTGGTAGGTCACGTGATAACGACAATATGATTTATGTATGTATTTTAATTTAAGTTTTTTTTAATGCTTATTTTAGAGATAACAAAAAAAAAATTTAATTTAAGTTTAATTTTAATATTTGATAACAACACATAGTTCATTGGACTAGATTGCAAAATTAAGGCATTCAGAGCTCTAGTTTATACTTGAAACTCACATTGCGGTACTACTGTGGCTTTAGATTAAAGCATCTGCTAAATGATTCAATGTAACCTGTAAATGTAATCTGCTCAGACAGAAACATCTCGGACTTCAAGCCAGATTCACGCCATATACAGACTTATTGAATAAACAGATGGTCAGCGGATTTCAGTGTCCTCCTAAACCAGCTAGGGACAAACACCCTGTAGAGGGTGAAGTTACAAAATCTAAATCTGGACGTTGGTACACAGCCTTCATATGAGATCTCTTACATAAGAAACCGTCCAATGAACTGACCCTTACATAAAATACTGACGCATTGTGCAACTCCATGCTGTTGACGACCCTATCGATCAAGTTTACAAAATGAATGTTTTATTATAGTTTTATTAAAATTCATCCTGTGAAAATTGTTTAGAAATTGGACATTGCAGAACTTTAAAACATTTTAGCAAGCTAAATTTTTGTGATATTAACTCCAGTCTAAATGTCCAAGGCAAGACTCCTGAGTCCTGACTAAACTGAACCATGCGAACTATTCGGTGGCATTTACCATGTTTTTGCCCCGCTGATGCTATAGGTCCTGCTGGAGGGATTGTATCTGGCTTTGGTCTCCATGCCACTAGGGTCACTCCCATGGTTTGGCTCTGTAAGTCCAAAACAACCCAGCATCTCTCCAAGAGCTGGGAAGAATGAAAGGCACAAAACAATATATTACATAAATGACGTTTTTAATCAAATTAGACACTATTACATGCGGCAACTAATAAATGTGGGGACATTTTGAATGCATTTCTGTGATTTATCCAGTCACTGTTAACCACTGAATAATTAGGATGTAAAAAATTACTTTACACTATTTTAAAATGACTGATATTACTGGTTTTCCAGGAACACAGGAACGTTGAACTATGTAAATCATTTTATAGCAGATCAATGCATTGGCATGCAGTTTAAGCAGTTGACTAACCTAGTTTAGGCAGGTATTTCTGCTTCTGTGCTTCTGTTCCATATGCATTGATAGGGTGCATGACCAGCGAAGACTGGACACTCATAACTGAACGGTACCCACTGTCCACTCTCTCCACCTCTCTGGCGATCAGACCGTAGGCCACGTAACTAGTGCCCGCACAACCATATCCTTCAACACGAAAACATCAGACACATTATACATTATATGTACATGCATTTTTGATTTTGATTTTTCATGGACGACAAAAAGACGGTCACATGTAAGCTGTACACACAAGCTCTTAAGTTAATAAAGACTGTGGTTTGTGGTTTCAACACCCGATTTTACCTTGAATCGTAGGCCCAAGGACACCAAGTTCTCCCATCTCGTTTACAATCTCCCGATGGAAATCTGAAGAAATCACAGCCACGGATTTGAATTTTAGGCATTTTAAATAAGGTTTCTGTGGCAAGAATTAAAGGGATAATTCACCCAATGTGAAAATTGTTGGGTGAAAAATGTCATAATTAATTTACTCATGCTGTTCCAAACTTTCGTTCATCATCAAAACACTAATAAAGAGCTTTTTAATGAAATCGGAGTGATTTCTATCCCTCCATTGAAATTCTGTTCACTTAAAACTCTGACAGATTGAAATGTTCGTAAAGAGATTGTAAAAGAAATCCATATGAATCAAGCAGTTCAATCCAAGTCTTCTGAATAGACACAATCACTTTATAGGATGAACAGACTTAATTTAGGCTTTTATTCACATATACACATTGATCAGTGTCAGTGTCAGCACTCAATATGATAAACGGAAGCTCAACCGAACTTGCTTGACGCATAAGAACAAACCTTGTTAGTTATTGTGCTTTAAGCAAGCATGCTTTTACCAAATTTAAGTGCTTAATGTACATTCACTGATCAATGTTTATATGCGAGTAATAGCCTGAATTAAATCTGTTAATCATATAACAGGTCACATATCTCTTCTGAAAACTTGTATTAATCCGCTCGATTCACATGGATTTATTTTACGTTCGCTTTATGAACTTTTTGAAGCATCAGAGTTATTGGTGTATAAACGTTTGATGTTCAGATTTCATTAAAAAAGCTCTTCATTTATGTTCCGAAGATGAAGTCTTATTGGTTTGGAACTAAATGAAGACAAGTCATTGATGACAGAACTTTAATTTTTGGGTGAACTATCCCTTTAATTATGCATGAAGGTTGTCGACTGCTGATCTGATCCATCAGATGTGACTAGCTCTTCCACTTACTCTCATTCCTGTTGGCCATGAGGATACGGGGCATGAGCTTCTCCTCGCAGTACGTGCGGAAACTGTCTCGGATCATGATCTCCTCTTCTGTGAGCTGCCCCTCCAGATCCAAAGCATCTCGCCAGTTAAAATGCACCTTAGCTATAAATCAAAAAGCTTTTTTTTTTCAGCTCAAATACAGTACATAATCATGTCAAATTCAAACAATAGAAATTAGAAAACATGAAACATATATATTTACGTCTTTTCGCTGTTATTTTCACTTGCTCCTCTATCTCTAAAAAATAAAGGATATGGGTATTAGCACAATCAAGCAGATGCTAAGCTTTAACATCACCAGGACACATATAATCTCCAACTTTATGTCATTTGATAATTTTTTTAGCCTAAGGAATGTAAAATAAATTTAGTTTACAGAGATATATATTTTTTAAACGTATTGATGAGCCCGCAATGCATTTACACATTGTCATGTGGGGCAAGATGATGCCACAGGTTATTAGTTTGCTATAAAATGTTTCCTGTTTTGTCAACTTTTCTTGTCCTCAGAACTGATATGATAATTCCGAGTTATGGTTGAGTTATGGTGAATTAGTGATCTAACCGTATGCAGCAGGTGCTGAAGTGCCCTGGGTCCTTGACACAGAGATCAGAGAACATCGCTGTGAGTTCAACAGCAGGCGTGATAAAGCTGTTCTTAATGCCATGGTGTATTCAGACCTGAAAATGTAACAATACTTGTTAGTGTTACAGCAACATTATAGCAGTGTTTACACAAGTTTATTTCGCTGTCATTTTAATACTTCCAGTGGTAATTAATTAGCTGTATGTTGGTTTTACGTTCCATACATTTTTACACAAAGTACTAAATACATGTTTTCAGCTTTTGTTTTTATTTAATAAATACTGTAAAATTCAAGCATTCCTAACAATTGCAACTCTAATATTTCTAGGCAAAATCGTGAGGGGTTACTTATCAGTTATTATTTTTCCTTTAAAAGTCTTTTCTATTGCATAAGTGTCTAACTTAATGTTAGTCTACGCATTGTTACACAACGGCAACTCATATTAGACGCATGTACAGATTTCAAAATCTTCTATATTGCTTATATTTCAGATTTTACTATATTTAGCTGTTGTTTCCATTCGTCGTGCAGTCAAACTAAAAAATGTATACTTAAAAATCCTACCTTCACAGCCTTTGATCAGATGATTTCCCTGTCTACTGTCTGTAAGACTATTTATATTCAACTATTGGAGGAACGTGTCACATGCACAAATTGGAAGAACGCACCCTCCATCTTTTGTGTGGGTGTGTTTCATAATGCCGTTGACTCTGCGTTATGTTTCATAATGTCTTTGACTGCGTTCACCCCACAATAACGTCAATAATCATTTTACACTACCTAATTACATACATCAATGATTATATGATCAAAATATGGAAAATAATGAATAATGACATTTTAAATTTTAAATTTAAAGTACATTTGTTCGATCATGCCACACACAAAATGGCTGATGACAACGTCCGAGCTCCTGTGACATGTCGAAGGCGTTTGCGGCACCTCGCCCTCTGATTGGATGATTAGAAGAGGCGTCTGCGCGGAAAGGAATTTTTAAAGTACATTGCTGTTACACAACATTAAATGACTGCAAGGCCGGAGTCGTCGAAAATATCCCCGTTATGAATATTTTCATAATTATAGATAGCCGTAAATATATATATATATATATATATATATATATATATATATATATATATATATAGGCCTATATATATATATATATATATATATATATATATTAAAGTATTATTTGAGTCTGATGCGTAATTCTTTGAAGTCACTGCAATTTGCCAATATTTGCAGGGAAAGATCATTTTTGTTTTAATTTACTTCACAGAATGAAAATAGGTTTATGTAGCAAAAAGGAAGATAAAATCCAATGTTTTGTCTGCGTGTGACGTTGTGTATTGGTTCAGGCTGAAATTGTATAAAATAATCCTTTGAAGTGTTTATGAATTAAGGCTAGGCCTAATGTATTGTACAATTAAATAATTTATAAATTACAGGCTATAGATAAGTAAAGCACAGTGCCATGGTAAAAATAACAAATAAAGCATTTTAATACAAAACATTGCTCTTTATTCCCTGTTTAAAAAAAAAACACTTTCACACATTCTAGCTTGTGTTCTTTTTTTTTTACCCTCCTTGGGGCAACTTTCTCTTTTATTAGTATAATAATACAAAGTCAGGGTTGTAGAACTGTAGTCCCCTTCCAAATGTTTATGATTTTTGGTTGGTAAAATGATCGTGAATGACATTCTTTTAAAGGCCCACAGCCTTGAAACGCGCAGTGTGTTGACGTAATTTAACAGGAAGACAAGGTGGGACATATCGAACAGTTAAATAAAAATAGCCAATAGCATTTCGTTTATATCACACCTCGGCCAGAGCCGTTGAGCTCAGTAAAGCCGTAGTTTCCTGCTAATATCCTCCGTATCACTTATAAATATAGCATTCTGTGGAGAATTCAAATGGGTCCGATACGTTTTCTGGCCTGCGCTGACTCGCACACATGACCTCCTCTGTCGTGTTTCTGGACCGGGGCAGACGTGTTCGCGCTGCGGCGGTTCACATGACACTAACGTGAAACTTCATTTGCACCAACGGAAAACATAATTACACTGTCTGAATCATTCCCTATAGTGTGCACTATGTGCCTTTCAATATAAAGAAAATACTATATGTTTGGAACAACCAATTTTAGCCACACATTCAGAGTCGTCTTCAGGGGCGGGATACTATAGATTCTAGAAAGTATTTGATTGGACAGAGAAGCTGAAGTGTAGTGATGTCATCAAAATCATGACATGTTGTTTGATGTCATCAAAATCGTGAGAGACTGTAAGTTTTGAATGCTTATATCTTCTCAATGCGAATTTTGTCATTGTTTTGGAGCACACTTATAGATAACAAGGCTAACATATTCATAAAAGCCAAAAAACTTCCCTTTTGATTTCTTGGGGACTTTAATTAGCCTATGTGAAGCTTATGTGAAATCACCACGTGGTGCAAAGGGACGGATAGCACCATTGATCAGTGAAGCTTGAATTGACATTTTTACTTGTAACTGAAGATAAAATAATGAAATGAATTAAACAGGCCTTTAAGGTCCTTTTGAAGATACTGACTGCTCCTTTATCACCGCCTTCTTTGACTTTATGAAATAATTATTCCTGTGCCACTGCTGAATCTGACAGTGAGACCTCCAGTTAGGTTGGAAACCATCTGATTATTTTACACTCTTTTGTTGTTGTTGTTGTTGTTGTTTTGAGATATTTCAGTGTATTTTGAAGACATGCGGTTCTTCAAGTGCCTTATTTGAAGTCAAGACACTTTTATTTCTATAGTGCTTTTATAGCTTCAAAGTGATAAACAGGAAAATAGCAAATTCATCTGATTCCGTAAAGCGGGTCTAAAAGACAGTAGTGTCATAATTTATCTCAAATTTAGCTTATGTACACCTGCTTCTTTTGCCATGGTTGCCCTTTTGGCTCTGCAGCTTTGTTACCCTTTAAACCGAGTATTGCAAGCCATTTAAAAGAAGAGTAGCTTATCTCTCTTTATATTGCCTGGACTGAAAATTTGTTTTATTCCTGATCAACACACGTAAGCCTGTTTAAAAAAATTCTATATAGTTATAAATAAATATATTATGTTTTTATATTATAAATCGATTTTATAACACACCCCCTCAACATCCTTCCCCCACTCCCCAGAAAAAAGGGTGGGACACCCCATAAGACTTGATTCGATTTGAGCACTGGTTAAAACTAATTTTAAAACTCACAATTACAACTTTACACTCGCTGATTATTTTTATAATCTTTATTTTTTGTATATACAATTTTAACTTGCAGTTAAAAGTAAACCAGTTTAGTAAAAGGTGTGGGTGGCTTGTAGAAATTTGTCACCTGGTGTGAAACATGATTCTGTTAATTACATTATTCATGACAATCAGAGAGTATCAGATTTGGTAAGTATTGTTAAAACGTTCATTTAATTAGTATTTCTAGGAACCGTCCTGGTTTTCCGGCGAACTGCGTGAATTTGCAGTTTTTCTCGCAAAGAAACACAAAGGCTTTAGAATTTAGAAACAATGTTGCGTTAGGCTACAGAGACTCACACTTTAAGAGATTTAAATTAAGAGATTTAAAGTTAGTTCATGTTTATAAAAGTTGTCAATGGTGGCACTACTGAGTATTATATGACCAATTTGTCGGTTTATTTTGCATTTTACAATTAAAGGTAACTAAAAGTGTGATTTCTTGACGTGCCGTCGGCGGTTTTCAGTGAAGGAGCGTTTATGTTTCATTGGCTGACACGACTGTCTGTCATTTTTTCCTCTCCTCTCATTGGTGGATTCAACCCTCACACACTCTCCTCGGAAAAAAACGAAACCCATCGTCATGCGTGTACTGTTAGAATGTGTTGTCGTCTGCCATACACACCTCTACTGTAGGACAGCGGAATTACTGATGGACAATTCCTCACAAGATTAGGCAACGGCGATACAATTCCTTTAAGTGACTGCCACAAGTCCGCATCATTTATTTGCAATGGAGCCAGAGGAGAAAAATCCAGAATCCAAATATGGTAAGACGTTTTGATATTTGGGGGTTCCTCCTTCAGAAAGTGGTAGGGATGGTCCTCTGATGGAAACAATGACTAATACATGGGGCGTGGGTCTCAGGCATTTTGATGAAGAATACTGGTAGCCTAATGCAGACTTGCTCACTGATGGTCGACTTAAATCATGAAGCACTTCATTAAACCAGTGCGAGAGAAGACACAATTGTACGGATGTGAGCAAGAAAACAATAGGCGTGTGTTGTTGAAACACATGGCTGGCGCAATTACTCTCAGGTCAATAATTACTGCGTTCTTCATATCGTTGCTTTATGCGCACTAATAAGTAAATGTAAGAATTGCCTCTAGGCTATCACTGCGTTACTACACACCCATTATAAATATAAATTTCAATATAAATATTGTTTGTAGAAGCATTTTCAGTGGCTTAGTTTACTCCAAAATAAGCCATAATAAAATACTAAGGTTTGTAAAAACGAGTGTGTGTTTGTCAACTAAATGTAACATTTGCTCAAATTTAGAAAAAGCAAATATTTTACTCTAAAACGAATACAAAAACTATTTTTTAACCATAATTCTTGCTTTAACTGTGATATTTATAGTAAGACCATAGTAACCACATGTACAACCATGGATGGCTTTCCTTTACCATACTAAATGTGGTTTCTATAAAACCAGACTATTTCTTTTATAGAAACAACAGGTAGTAGCCTATTTACTATAAAAAGGTTGGAGGCTGACCCCATTTCAGATACTATTATAGTTTAATTAGTAAATTAGATTAGATTTATATTTTTCCATATTAATTTTAAATTTTGTTTTGTGTTTTTGTCATTTTCATTTTTTTATATGTTATCTATATAATTTTTATATCAGTTTTTGTACAGAAATATTACTTTGGCAACTAGTTTTTTCCAAAATGCCTGTAGTTTGTGTACCATTTAAGATTAAGACTTCCTAAAATAAAGGGTCTGTATTGGCATCTACGGTTCCTCAAAGAACCTTTAAAACCCATGGAACCATTGTAAAAAAGGTTCTTTAGTCTATTACATTGTTCTTCACACTAAGAAAACAGTGGTTGTTTTAAGAACTGTTAACTGAAAGGTTCTTCTGCGGCACAAAAATGCTTCGTCTGTGGCATTGCTGCGAAACCTGCTTGTTGGAACCGTTATTTTTTATTTTAGATTTCCTGAGACTTTCTGGAGCCTTCTCATTCCTGAACTTTAGTTGAAGAGTTTTCAAGTTCTGCTTTTGAGAACAAGTTGTAACGTGATTTTCAGGAGTCTGGGCAGGAGTGATGTAGACTCACACACTCAAATGACTTGTTGTCATCTGTCTAGTTTGCATTATGGTCTTTTAACCACATGAACACCAGAGGTCTTTATAGTCAGCCTCTGACTAAGACTATGGGAAGTGCTTCCTTATGATGCCTGTAAGTCTGTAACTAAGGTTTGTTCAAGAATGACAATGATGCGTTTCTCTCCAGTTGCCTAGCAATCCCATAACATCCTAGCAATGCCCTTATAACTACAAAGGCATCTCAAATATCCGTGCCCCTTATTGTGTTTGGAGATCACGTGACTTTGCGGGTGGAAAAGGTCATTTTGAAACAGGGGCCAAAGTGTGTGATTAGAATCAAGCCGTAGGTTGCCTTCTGGCC